GATGTGAATAAAGAGCAGCTTCTTTTCATTTCAACAATGAAATTGAGTGGAGTCAAAGTTACTGATTCTTTGAGGGTTCTAAAGAAGGAGGTTGGGGGATCTCCTAATCTTTGTTTTACTGCTTCTGATGCTTATAATGCATTGTCATCTGAAAAAGCTGCCCAAATTGAAGGATGTGATGGTAACCAATTGATTAAATATTTTGCCAAGAGACATGTGGATGAGACAGATTTTTATTATGATTTTGAACAAGATGATAGTGGTGCTTTAGTTAGTTTTTTTTGGCGTGATGGTAGGATGATGAGAGATTATCATTACTTTGGAGATTTGTTGGTTTTTGATACAACTTATAGAACTAATAAATATGGAATGATATGTGCTCCATTTGTTGGGATGAACCATCATGGTAACAATGTCATGTTTGGTATGGGTTTTATTCTTAATGAGCGCACCGAGTCTTTTGATTGGTTGTTTGATACATTTTTGCACTCAATGGGGAGGAAAAGTCCCATTACAATTATGACTGATCAAGCACAAGCGATTGCAGCGGGTATAAGAAACATTTTTCCTTCAACTGTTCATCATCGTTTATGTGTATGGCATCTTGAACAAAATTCTAAGAAACACATTGGAGCATTGAGAGCTTTGGAAGGCTTTACAGATTTGTTTGGATATCTTTTGAAGTATTGTGAAACTCCTGCTGAATTTGAATATTTCTGGAAAAGGTAAATTATTGTTTTTTGTATTTATTTTTTATTTTTATTATGTGATATATTTGATTATTATGTGATATATATATGAACATGTAGTGTTTTACATATGATCATACAATTTACTTTGTTATGTATGTTATCATAATATTATTAGTGTCCATATTGTTTATGATCATTATTCTTTACACAAATGTACATATTTTAATTTATATTTTGTTCATTTTTAAATTAATATATGATCATTTCTGTTATACAGGATGTGTGATAAATACAAATGTGAAAATGATGATTGGTTATGTGATTTGTATAAAATAAAGGAAATGTGGTGTCCTGCTTATTCTAAGAAGTATTGGTCTGGTGGTATATTGTCTTCTCAACGTAGTGAAACTACTAATAAGTCAGTTTCACAACGTCTTAATAAGACTCAAGGTTTATGTGATTTTTATCATGTTTTTCTTGATGTCATTTCTGAGTGGAGAAGTAAGGAAGGTGCAAGAGATTACAATACTCTGAGGGGTAATAGGCACCTAGCTTTTGCTAATATTGGTATATTAGTTCATGCAAGATCATTGTACACTATTCAAGCTTATGTTCTTTTTGAAGAGGAGTTCATTAGGGGGACAGCTTATGATCATGTTGATAATGGTTTGCGTTTTCCAGAATATTCATATCTTCTTTGGAGGCCTGGGAAGGATATAATTAAGCATGAAGTTGTTTTTAATAAGGAAACACATGCAATTTGTTGCACATGCATGTACTTTAGTGAGACTGGTTTACTTTGTTCTCATTCTCTTCGAGTATATCATTTGCATTGTGTGCGTAATATTCCACAAGAGTATATAATGAAACGATGGACAAAGGCTGCCATGTGTAGTCATGGTATTGAAGAACCTATTTTGAGGACAAATGTTGTGGCTACTAGTGTTTGGAGGTCACAAACAATCAGAAAGTTTGTTAAGTTGATAACAAGTTGTCAAAATTCTTTGAATGCAAGGGCAGAGGTTGAGTGTTATTTCAATCTGTTAAAAGAAAAGGTTGAGAGTGTATCAGGTGTAATTGACTTTAGTGAACCTGTTAAAGAGGTTGAAATTGTTGATCTTGAGATCAAGAATCCTCCAAAAGCTAGGCCTAAAGGTGAGAGGAATGTAAGGCCTAAGAGTACCTTGGAGAAGCAGTGTAACAAGGCAAAGGGTAATTTCAAGAGGAAAAAGTCTCTGTACACTCCTTACAAAAGGGGTATAGGGCAAGCAGTTGTACAGGTATATGATCATTTCATATTTTCAAATTGATCATTTCAGTTTTCGTAAATGATCATTTATGTTTTTTCTTTTTAAATAGGAACTTGATGAGAACGGTTGTGCTGTTACTTATGCTAATTCTATTAGTGATCCCATTGAATTGATTGTTTTGAGCAATAAACGGGCTCAGGTAAATTCAAATGTGCCAAAAAAAACATTTTATTTATATTTTATTAATATTGATTTTTATAATTTAAAAATATAGGTCGGCTTAAAATCAGCTGTTGTAGAAGAAATTCCTTCTAGTTCTAAGGAATCAAATCATAGTATTTCCAATGATTTTGATCAGGTATATGAACATTTATGATCTATATTATAATTTTTTTTTATTTAATTTTTTATTTTTTATATTTTTTTTTTGGTTTTTTTGTAGGCTACTGGTGAAAGCTCTCTTTCATCTATCATATCTATTGATGTTGATATTTCATCTATTGCTAAGGTTTTTTTTTTTTCCATATTTGTTTGTATAAGTGTTTGTAACTGATCATATACTGGTTTATTAATGATCAATTTAATTTTTTTTAAAGGCAAAGGATTTAAATCTTGAAGGTGTTTCTGCTGTTCAACCTTGTTCTAATTTTGTTGCAAATAAAGGTGCTTCTGGTGTTAAAACTTACTCTCAAATTAATCCAAGAGTTCCAATTCATACTAGTGCGTCAACAAAATCTCCTGTTGTTATTCAACCTACTGTTCCCAGGAATGTTCAAAATCAAACTCAGAATTGTTCAAACACCAATCCAGAAATGATCATATCCAACTCCAGGAATGTTCAATCAACAAATGTTCAAGTTATTTCTCCTACGGTTCAAATAAATGATCAAGGATTTCCTGTTCAGAATGTTCAAGTTACTCCTCCCACAGTTCAAAGAAATGATCAAGGTGCTCGTGTTCCAATTCTTCAATCAAGAAATGTTCAATTAGGTTCTAAAAAGATTTCTTCTAAATATGATAGGTTGTTAGCCTTTTTTGATACAAGTGTAGCTAAACGTTTGGCTAATAAAGATAAATAATTAGTATTCCAGAACTTTATAAACATTAGACTTTTTTGTAATGTTGATTTAATTACTATTTTGTAATTTTGAATTTTCGATCTATTATATAAAAAACTTTCATTCAAAGATTAAAATGAAATATCAATTACAATAATATTAAAATAAAATCCATAAGTCTACTTCTAAAAAAAAAAAATAGTCATATATAAGAAATGAACATATACATAGTTGTAAATGAACATTTGAAACTACAAAGTTGCAAATTTTCTAGCTTTCCTTCTATTTGCTCTTGATTCAGTGTTTTCTTCAAATAACATCAGTTCTGCTGTGTATTGGAGCCTTAGATTTCTAATTTGTTCCACCTGTTGAACAAAATGAATTGTCAAATTTTAATTAAACAATCTTTACTGTTTCATAAATGAATATTATATCTTAAATAATTGATCATTTATAACTCTTACATTGTTTGGTTTTAAATCACAAATCCAACTCTCATTAGGATCAGCAGTGAAGGTTTCCATATGCTTCATAATGTAAACTCCACAGTTTGTATAGTCATTGTTGCTACGCCATTTCATCTTTTCCAAAACAACTGTGTAGTCTTCAATTCTTTTTGCATCTTGATATCCAAGGTGTTTCATGTACTCTGCCAATCCTTTTAACTGATAGAAAAAAGAGTAAAAATTGTTTAGAAGTTTGTATTGTGATGAAGACATGAACAATAAATAAAAATAATTGATCATGTAGTCAACTATAAATGAACATATTATCTCACCATCATTTTTGGTTGTTCTTCATATTTTGCTTTGACTGATACCTTTTTTGGTAGTTTTCTATTGTCAATTATATGAATTTTGTCTTCTATATGATTGACGCACAACAGAAAAAAATGTTGAGAAGTTGATACTGGGAAGAAGACCTGAACAAATTATATAATGTTATTGGACAATATATTGAATGTAATTGAACATTTGTATTAAACAAGAATTAATACCTGTTTATATCCAACAATGCTGTCAATTTTATTCAACTTCAGTTCATTGTCAATTCTTTCTATGAAGGCATTAATTCTTGTCTTCATTGATGATCCTTCTTGACAAACTCTATTTGTGCACATAATGTGCTGTTGAAATACAAACAAACATATAGAAGTTAAATGAATTTTTAGCAATTATTTATCATAGGAAAATAGAATCAATAATATAAAAAAAGAAGAAAGACTAACATGAAGCACTGTTGAGAAATAAATCTTGTTTCTCGGCTTTTTATGATTAAGAAACCTTGCCCATCCATCTATGACACAATTTGTCACTTCAACATCATCTCCAAGAGTTTTCATTTCATTTCTATTGATGAGATTCAAGCCATCATAGTATAAGAGTGCACTGCATTATGAACATTTAATAATATGAATGTGAACATATTTTTATAAAAGATATTAAACCTTAAGTTTAATTAGTGTAAGTAATTACCTTTCATCTTTTCCACCAAGAGCAAAGTCTACTGCAATTTGGTTCATGGCTTTCTCATCTTTAAACAGATCCTTGTACTTGACCAAGTAAGGAGATCGGAAAGCAGGAGGAATTGTTTTCTTTTCGCGTTTTGGTCTTGTTGTTCAATATAAAATATTGTTAAATTAAGAAAATTATGAGGAACATAAATGAACATTTGAGTGTATATAAATAAATTTGAAATTATACCTTTCAACCTTTTCCTTTTCAGTTTTTTTCTTCTTTTCTGCAATTGACTTTTTCTTATCATCATTCCTGGTCATATTACATAACACAAATGTACATTTAGGTATATGAAAATGTTCATTATTATTTTTGAACATTTACTTAATATAAATAATGTACCTTTTTGTGACTTTTGAGGATGAAGCAACAATCTTCTTGTTTTCACTGAAAAGTGAAACAATGTCAGTACATATTAATAAAATAAAAGCTTCTTATGTAACACCCTGAATCATTTTCAATTCATAAAATGAAAGATATTGATTTAACATAAACCTATTGATTTAACATAAACCACACATTCATATTACATATTCAACAAAATAATGTTCACACATACAATAGTTTGAGAAACACCAGTTTCAAGTTACAACACGATAGTAACATAAGTTAAATTGTTCCATCTAGATATTTTATCCTACACCATTACATAACCCTAATAGTAAGACATGTCTTCAGGATTTTACCCCTCCACTTTTTCATCATTTTTTGTTTTTTTCAAAAACATCTTCCTTGTTTTGTTTTCCACCTTCAACTGTGTTTTTTGGATCATCACTTTTTTCACCACCATCTGACCTAGGGTCAGCATCAACCACTGAACCAGATCCTGCATCTAAGAAAAAATTTAATTAGATATAATATAATTTCTTTGTAAATGAACATTTGAGTATTTATAATTGAACATTATACCTGTTCTAGGCAATCCTTCATTATCTGACCTAGTGTCAGCATCAAATTTTGAACCAGTTGCTGCGTCTAACAAAAAAATACAATTAATAATGAATATTTCTTGTTTGTAAATGAACATTTTACACTTTTTAATTGAACATTATACCAGTTCTAGAAAATTCTTCAATTCTTTGTTCTGAAGCTGCTGAAGTTTTACCCACATCCTTTTCTTCAGCTGTATTATAAATCATCATTTTGGAGATACACTAAGTTAATAGTATTTACACATAATAATTAGAAATGAACATTTCTACTTAAGTTTATGTACATTATTATTAAATATATGAACATATTACCATTTGTTGAAATTATTGGTTGTTCAATTATATCACCAAGTGTTGAAAAGGTGGGCCCTGTTTCTGTTTAGGACAATTTAGACCACAAATTTAGAATTTTTCATATAAAAATTAGGATATATAGTCTCTTTTAGTTAGAATTTACCAATGGCTGGAGAAGGTGGAGTCAACCCCAAGCTGAAAGCTTTTCTGATGTCATATTCTTGTTCTTTTTCCTTTCCCTTTTTGGTTAATTTCTTCCCAGTCATTTGCTTCTCAGTTGTTTGCTTTTCAGACCCTTGCATCAGATTCTTCTCAGCTTGTGCAAGTGCATTTAGGAAATCCTCACTGCCAAAGAATTCTTCATCTTGGCTTAGAATTGATGGTTCCCTAGCTACCACCTTTCCTAAAACTTCATCAACTTTTTTCACCAAGTCATTTCCAGGGAAGATATCCTTTGCCTTCACCAATTTTGAAGAAAGCTTTGACAGGTTTGAACAAGTTGTTTTTACCAGGGAAACAAAATCATCCATAAAAACCTATATGAATGAATATTAAAAATTATGCAGTTGAACATTTCAGATTATACAAATGAACATTTATGTTAACAAAAGTGATCATTTTATAACCTTAGGACTTTCTTCAACTTCTGCAGCAATCCTTGGTAGAATTTTCCCTCTCCCAAATCCCAATTCTAATTCAATCTTCAACCTCTCAAGAACCATGTCTCTATTCCATGCAGATATGATAGGAATTTTTCTTGGAGGCCTTTTGTCTAACCTCTGAACTCTATCAAAATAGAACAACTACAAGAAAAAAGAAAACATGGAACAGAACATAAACAATAAAAAAAAGTGCATTTATTTAAATTTAAATGAACATTTTGTATCTAAGAATATACCATCAGAAATTGAAGAGGGCCTTTGTAGAACCCCTTGCCTTGCTGCTTTCTCCAATCAACATGACATTTGATAAGTGAGTCATATACAAACTGACACCAGTTCAAATTTTTTATGTTTTCTTTGTCCATCATAGAATAAAGAAATTTGAAATGGCATTGATTGTTTGATACACATTTCATCAAGCAGTTCACAGCCACTGCTAAAAAGTTAGTAATGAAATGTTCACTTGGTGGTCTGTTGTTGGTGAATTTATCATTTATGTATCCATTCACAATCTGCAAACAAAATGAACAAAACATTTATACTTTTGATCATTTAATGTATTTAAAATGAACATTTAAAACTGATCATACCTGACTCACTGATGGAGTTTTTCCTGACCATGATTTTCTCCATTTCTTCAGAAATTCTGCATACTCCTCACTAATTTTATCAGACTTTGGCTCAACAATTGGAATTTCTCCTGTAGGCAAGCCATAAACTACCCTAACATCCTCTACCTCAATTTCTATTTTTTCATTCTTTGGTAGTTCAAAACACTGGCTATTTTCTTCAAAACTTCCCAATAACCAGTTACAGAACTTTTGATCAAGTTGAGGTAAACTAATGTCAAGAAGTGATCCTAACCCTATATCAACAACTTGTTGTTTTTGGGTAGGTGTCATCTTTTTTATCCATGCAATGAACTTCACATGTCCTCCTCTCTTTGAAGATTTCTCTTCCTCAAATTCATCTTCCTGAATTTCCTCAACTTCATCAGTTTCTATTGCTTGAACCATTTCAGTTTTCATTTTCTTTTTTCTCCTACCTTCAATCTTTCCTTCATCATACAGTACCATCTTTTGCTCCTCCTTTTCAACCTTTGCCTTCACTGAATTCCCTTTCTTTGCCTGTTTCTTCCTTGGCTTTACTTCATCCTCTTCCTCCTCTTCCTCCACCTCATAATCATCCTCACTGACAGGCTCTTCTTCTGCTCTATAAACTGACTCTTCACTATCATCATCACTGTCAGTAGAACTTTCATCAGTAGGATCTTGAGAGGGTTCATCTGATGGTACTTCTTGTATTTTTTTTCTCTTTCCAGCATTTCTCTTGGCAGGACTGACATCTGAAAATTAAATATATATAATTTTGTTTAAGTATTGAAAATGTACAGTAAGCAAATGATAAAATGAACAAAATTGTTTTCTCAAATGATCATTCTATATATAGAAATTGAACATTTATAATATATCATTATATACCTGCTTTTCTTTTGCCAGCAACCTTAGAAGTTTTCTTCACTTCTTCTAGAGTTTTCTTTTTCCCACCTATATATTGAAATTGAACATTAATGATATACCATCATAAATGATCATTCTATACATTAAGATTGAACATTTACCCTTTTTGCCTTGGTCTGGAGGATATTCAGCAGGAGCACCTGCCATTTTTTTTATTGGAGTAGGTGCTGGAGGTGGTGCATCAGCTTCCTTTTGAATAGGAAAATTCCTTGTAGACATTCTTCTCTTCTGTCCTATTTTTGCGGTTTCTTTAGCAGGTTCAACATCCTTCTTCAGGCTTCCCTTTTCAGATTCATCTAACAGAACATCTATTGTTTTTTAAAAAAAATTTATGTTAGTATATTTGAAAGTGTAATATTTATTGTGTAACAGAAAAGTATTATGATTACCTTGGCTCCTTGTAATTCTACCACTTGGCACAACAACAAGGCTTTTGTTTTTGTTTTTCCTTGCAACCATTTTGTATCTTGTTTTCATTTTGGTTGACTGATCACTTTTTTGTGATGATGGAGCTGTCTCCTCACTAAGTTTTGTGGAAACTTTATCATCATCTTGATCTAGAAGATAAGTTTCATCCTCAATTTGAACAAAATCAGGTGCAATTTGTGCTGCATATGAAATGATCAAATATAAAAGATTAAATAAACATTTATTAAATTGGATGACAAATGTTTACTATATACAATATAAATGAACATTTCAGGTAATGAATATGTACATTTTCCACTATTTACCTTTCGGATCTGTTGTCTTTGTAGACTCATCTTCCACTGTTTTCTCTTTAGGGATTTTCTCCTTTTCAGGCTCTTTTTTTTCCCTCTTGTCCTTCTATGAAAATTTAATTAGTTAATATTTATATATTTTTTTTAATCTTATTGAACATTCAATATTATGTAGATCCAATATGAACATTTTATGTAATAAAAATGTACATTTATAAATTTTTACCTTCTACATTTGTTGTCTTTGGAAAGACATCTTCCACAGTTTTGTCTTTAGGGCTTTTCTCTTTTTCAGTCCCTTTTTTTCCTTCTTGTCCTTCTATTAAAATTTATTTAGTTAAAATTTAATTTTTTTAACCTTATTGAATATTTAATATTATGCTTTTCCAATATGAACATTTTTTGTAATAAAAATGTACATTTTAAAATTTTTACCTTTTTCCACAGTTTTCTCTTCTATTGGCCCTTTTTCTTTCTTTTTTGCTTCACCTTCAAAAGTAATAGTATTGTTAAAATTGATATTTATGACTATTAAACAAAAATATTCAATAAATATGATCATTTACCTTTCCTGATTTCCTTGCTTGCCTTTTCCATTCTTTTGAGATTTCTCATAATTCTGATTGTCGATTCTTTGTACTTTCTGTAAATGTATGATATTAACTTTGAAATATATTCATTAATTGATTAAATTAATTCAATTATTTAAATTTAAACATACTTTGGGTTTCTCTCTATGTTTAAATGTATTTCTTGCATCTTGTCCTTTAATGTTGTTATTCTTGAATCATCTTTGGGTTTTCTGATATTTCATTAAAAATATGTTTGAATTTACAATTTTGATTAGTAAATAAAAAAATGAACATATAACTTATATTACTATTGGTCATGAGCAAACTTTTTTGTACTGATTTTCAAATGAACATATAGTCTATCTAAATTGAACATTTAAGTTTTCTTACTTTTGGCCAAGACTATTCTTTACTGGATTGCTTTGCACTTTTGGTTGAACTTCTTCTTGCTTGCTGAAATCAATATTAAGAAATACTTTAAATAAAAAATGCACATAAATTGTACATAAAATATACTGTTATAAAAATGAACATTTATTTATATAAAATTGATCATTAGTATACCTTTCATCCCTACTCTCTTTGTCAGTTGTGTTATGTGTAGCAGACACACTCTTAGTTGTTGCATTAGTAGCAGGAATGTTCTCACTTTGTTCACTTAAAAAAAACAGAATTATTTTATATAATATGATATTAAAGTATGAACTAATTTATACAATGAAGAAGATAATTAGTTATTTTGTATAAAGCTTTTATACCTTATTGTTTGATTTGTCTCTGGTGGTCTTGATTTTGACATAACAAATTTCACTCGAACCTTTTTTTTTTCACTAAAATTTTAAGAATTACCTAATAAGTTTGGTATATATATACAATGTACAATAATTGAATGTAAAAACAATTATTTTATACATATAAACTTACTTGTTTAAAGTGTATCTTTCATAACTATTACCATATTCATTTTGTTCTATAACCTTCTTTAGAGTTAATGGTTCAGATTTCCCATCTCTAAATTGAAGCAAGTGTATCACTCTAAATGGCACATCACTACATTATAAATTAATTACATGACATTAGTTTGAATGCATATCACTGAAATGATTATTATCATATTTATATATGTGCATGATGATTTAATGAAATGTATATTTGTTATTTAAATCTCAATGAATACTCAAATGAACAAATATACATATATGATCATAATTATATCTATAAATGAACATTATGAGTATCAAATATGATCATATACAATGATGTTTCAATGAAATGTACTTTTGTTTTTAAATCTCAATAAATACTCATATGAACAAATATAAATATATGATCATAACTATATCTATAAATGAACATTATGAGTATCAAATATGATCATATACAAATAACATATTAAACAAAGATAAAACCAATTTTATCAAATACAACTAGCATATTAGACATGAACATAATATATTCTGTAAATGACTAATTACCTTGGTAGTGGAGACATTGTTAAATCCGTACCAATTGACTTGTCAATATCTTTTAAAAGTTCCGGATCTACAATTGGATCATTTTGGCGGTTTTTTTTCAATTTGTCTACTCTTGACTGAAGAGGTACATCATCATCATCGTCTCTGTTTTATTTAATAAATTGTTAATGTTTTAGTTATTTTCAGTAAAATCTTAGAACAATTACTACAATCGCAAAAATTTTTAACAAAAATTAGGTTTTACAAATAAATTCGCTCTATAATTTTCATCGCAAGAATATGAACAAATTAGGTTTTACAAAAGTTAGAGTTCATACATTTCTTCAGAAATTTTCAACAAATTACTCGTCTCTGAAGTATTCTTCTCCAAAATCATACTACAATTGCAAAAAATTGAACAAAAATTAGGTTTCACACATAAAATCGCACTATAATTGTCATCGAAAAAAAATGAACAAAATTACTTACTCTTTAGATACATTTTGCTCCGATTTTGCAGTTTCTTCTTTCATGTTCTTCTCTGTAGTGGTTTTTTGCAAAATCGCACTACAATCGCAACAAAATGAACAAAATTAAGGTTTCACACATAAAATTGCACTACAATCTCAAAAAATGAACAAAACTAACGAAATTACTTACTCTTTTTTTTGTGATTGTTTAATTTCATCTCGAATATCAGACATTTGAAGCAATTATGAAGTGTTTTGAAGCAATTTTGCAATAATTTGAAGAGAATTTCGTTCCGATTCGACGGTGTTGATGAGAGAGAAATTCTAGAGAAATGAAGAAGATGGTTTTTAGAGAGAGAATAATTTGAAATGGATAGTTTTTTTTTTTTTTTAATAATATATATGTGGGGTAGGGGAAGTTATTTCTAATTTACTGTGGTTAGTGGGAGTGAGTGGGGGTAGTTACTGTAGTTTGTGGGGGTAGGGGAAAAACGCAAACGCTGCGTTTTGTAGGGGGTGTAGGTTATGGTACCTACACTAGGGTGTAGTGTATACTAATTACATCAAGCTTAGGTATAAAAGCCTTAAAGAGGTTCAATAAAAAAAAAAAAAAGTAAGTTCATTCATACGCTTTTACTCACACAAAGCCCTAAGCACTAAACTCTCTTACACAGCTTTCTCTCTAAATACATAACTGACTTCAGCATCGGAGGGACCTTCCTCGACACAACCCCCCGAAGCCAGTTTACGTGTGTTTGTTGTGCAGGGAATCCTCGGCCAATCATCACTCGGACCGAGACCAATCTTCTCCCACCCAAAAGGGCCTGTCCGTAGGTCCTTTGTTTTCATACCGATACACATACAATAATCATATAATTGCTTGCTAATTAGCCTGATGATGTAATGTTTATTTCTGTCTTGTTTTATTTTGAAGTATGAAAACTTACAAATAACACTTGTTCAATCATGCGTGCATGTTTTCATGTTTTGGGAGAATAATCAATTAGTCTAAATAAGAACGTGTCTTTAATATTTTGAATCGATTATAACTTTAGATCATTGGTTATCTCTAAGACTTGTTACAAAATCTCAATAGACATCATATGAAAAAAATGATTCATATAGCAACATGGTTCGGCAAAAACTTTTGGTTTAAAATTTAATTATTATATAGTTTTCATATATGCTCTATAGGTTGTAGTACAATTTAAGGGTCAACTCATAAACACCTTTTTAAGTAGTTTTTAGAGTTTTGACTTAAAAGATAAAAGGTGTAATTCTGCAATTCATTGTTGTAAGTTAGCTTTTAGTAGTTGAACTAGTGTTAAGGAAAAGCTATAAGATCTAGCTTTTTTTTTTTTTTTTTTTTTGAAACACTATAAGATCTAGCTTTGAGATAAAGATAGATTTGAAGATAGTATATAACTCTTTTTTTTGTTCTTTTTTCTAATCCAAAGTGTAAATTCAAAACATAAATTATTTGAAAACTACTTTGAAAGCTAACATCAACCGCATGCAATAATAAGTAATATGATACCTAACATACAAAGGGATATATCTAACATCTATTGCAACAACTACTATTGTCGAACATACTCTGGATAAAGATTCTCCCCTTTAAGATGAACTTTCCTATGAGTCACCTTTCTCAGCCCAACTCACAAGATAAAGCTAATAATTAAAGCGATAAAACCTTATCATTAGATAGTTATATAGCTGTTGATCGATGTTTAAATTAATTAATCTGACTATTTAAATTAAAATTATGGGGTTTCAATTCAACTTTATCGAACCTCAATAACATATACCTCATGTCCCCATTCAACTATAGTTCTCATTTTATATCGAGGTTTAAGTAGTACTATCACAAACTAAATCCAATCTTCACCAAAATAAAAAAAAAAAAAATAAAAAAAAAAAAAAAAAAAAAACCTAAAAAAAGAAAAACCTAAATCCAATAAAAGATATTAATAGACTGCATAATATAAACACATGAACATGTTGAAAGTTTGAAACAAATCAACCGAAAGAGTATATCACAAGAAAAGATCCCTAAATTCATCATGACAAAGTTAATTAATTCAAATTACTTCTAATAAATCCAAAAACCAGGATCATATATAATCACAGAACTAAAAAAACTATAATTCGCCCAACTCAAATCTCAGTGCAAATCGCACTAAAGTATATATGTATGTAACTATGTGCAAAACAACAGGATCTCTCTTGATATGTGTTCTACATGTTCGTTGAATCATAACCTATCTCTTACACAAGATCAGTATATCTTAATCCAAATTAATTAAATTAATTAACCTACTAATATTCCCATGATGATGTCATACATTCACTAATGTTTTAAGCAATTCCTTCTGATTGGGTAAACTTTCTGCTACTAACAATATAAAATGTGTAACACATGTTACCCTCAACCTTATATTATAATATTATATCATATCATAAAATAAATATAATTAAATAAAGTCATTGGATTCGGGCTGACAAAGGTGACAATAATGCAAAATTGTAAGGAAAAAAAAGGGTCGAACTTTTTTAAATTTTATGTTTGTCTAGGATTTTATTTTCCCTTTTTGGAGAAAACAACTTTTGCAAGAAAAGCATGTGCTTTGCCTAGGAAAGCAAGTTTAGGTTTATTTAGCTTTCATTTACTACGTAGTATATACTTATGGATTATTAATTAATCAAGTTTTTTAATTGGTAGGTGGGTAACATTTAGGCCTTAATCTTGTGGTTTTTTTTATTCTTCTTAGGCAAATCTTAGATTGATTATTAATATTTATTGTGATAAATTCCTCAATTGTTGATAAACTAGCTTTGTGTTCCTCAATTATTATGATTTCTATGCTTAGTAAGTTACTAGGAGAATATTTAAATTTGTGTTTATACCCTATGTTCACACTAAAACAGTTGATAGAATTATTAACGACTATTATCTATGACGATGCAATGGAGCGAGTTTGAACCTCTAATCCTTGGCTTTGATATTTCATTAAAAAAAAATAATAATAAAAAATTAAAATAAGCATTACTTACTACGTAGTATATGAGGGAGTATTTTAATCACGGAGTATAATATAGTCTATGCTCATTCATTTTTCTGTGTTATTACTCATTTACCAACTTTATTATTCAATTATTTTCTTTTTTTTTGTGCTATGCTCATGTATATAAACTTAGAAAGAGTATAGTAAGCACTTTTATTTTGGAAATTTCAATTATATAATATCAATAATTCTTGGGTGAACCTGGTCCGCAATAAACTTTATTGTGGACCAAAGGTCTCACGTGCCAAAGCAAGTTATATAAATTTGACCCCATTTACCTAGAGGTCACTATATACAAATATAAGGTAATTATATCAAATTATATAAATTTTGACGACATTTACACAGAGGTCACTATATATAAAAATAAGATAACAATAACAATTTTGACGACGCTTGCACGTAGGTCACTATATAAGAATAAGGTAACTTTATCAATTTTGATGACATTTACACAAAGGTCACTATATATAAAAATAAGGTAACAATATCAATTTTGACGACGCTTGCACTTAGGTCACTATATATAAAAATAAGGTAACTTTATCAATTTTGACGACTTTTACACAAAGGTCACTATATATAAAAATAAGGAAACTATATCATTGATAACTATATACAAATAGAGGTAACCATATCATTGATAACATGGTTGAACCTTGAATCTGCACATCCAATTCCTTCTGAATCAAGTCTTTCACCTCACAGAAACCAAGGCACCAATGCTCCATACAGATCAATCTTCTGGCAAGTAATGTTCTGCATGATCATATTTTTTTTTTTACTAAAATTAGAAAATCCAACTTATGCAAGATTAAACATCAACCTATATAGCAGTAATTTCAACTAAACCTTCACTGTTACTTCTCTGCTGCTTATACTCTATTTAAATATATAAAAAGAGAACTAAGAGGGATTTCATTAGAAAAGAACTCGAGATCGAGATTAAGAGAACAAATGAAGTGGCAAAAGGAGAAGCTAGATGTAATCCTGGTACCAGCAGGGCTATTCATGATGTTTGGTTACCATATCTTCTTGCTATATAGATACCTCAGGAATTCAAAGTATACCGTACTCGGCTTTCATAACCACTGCCAAAAAGAATGGGTCAAGAAGCTTATGCAGGTTAGACTACCAAACTAATAGACTCCATCACTAATAATCACAAATTAACAATGCTTTTGCCTAGAAAAGGATCTTGCTCTCTCAGAACAAAGAGTAATAGAGCTCAAAAGATATGACACAAATGATCAAACAAAATCTACAAAGAGTTCTCATAGCACCTTAAACTACACTAGAGCAATCACCAATTAATTGGCCAAATTCATCAACAAGAAGTTACACCCAGCGAAACATGAATTGACACAAACACATATACTTTGTGGTGCTTGAAGTTACTTAACTAAATAATTATTAGCAATGCATATATAAACATCATTGGAAAAAGGCAAAATCCAGATTTCAGAAAATCATCATTATTGACTAAATTGGAGTATATGTATGAAATTGTGCGATTAAATAACTATACAGAAAGCTGAAAACAAGCCCTCAAGCAAACCACCACTTCCAGAATACGTCAATATGAATCCCGCCTTCTCTATTCAAATCATTACTATACATAAAATTGAGTTGAGCAAAGAGCTACACACATTGAATTAACATTATTCAACAGTTCTCTTTTATGTCAAACTAAAAGAAAGGGAAAAAAAGAAAAAAAAAAACAGAAAAAAACTTGATGTTACACTGCCTTTGACATGATGCTCCATTTGATCACTAAATTAATTAACCCTTTTTTTGTATGTACCATAATATAAACACAATATCTGAAGCATTACCTTCGAAAAATCGAACAAACAGTACAAATCATGAAAAAAAAAAATCGAAAAACCCTAGATCTTCAATAATCTTCAATACAAATCAAAATTCAAACAAAAATCATGCAAATAGTTTAAATTAAAGAAAAACAACAATGAATAACCTCAAAATTGCAGAAATACAGTGCAAATCATGGAAAAAAAAAATCGAAAAACCCTAGATCTTCAATAATCTTCAATACGAACCAAAATTCAAACAAAAATCATGCAAATAGTTTAAATTAAAGAAAAACAACAATGAATAACCTCAAAATTGCAGAAATACAGTACAAATCATGAAAAAAATCGAAAAACCCTAGATCTTCAATAATCTTCAATACGAAACAAAAATCACACAAACAATATAAATTAAAGAAAAACAACAATGAATAACCTCAAAATTGCAGAAATCAAATGATAAACAACAATTATACCAGAAAGTGGTCGAGTAGCTGAAGAACGAAGGCCTCTTCTCGGTTGAACTGTACCACCACCTCTAGTTCTTGCCATTGAAGAATAATTCGAGCAATTTTACAGAAAAATCGGTGTTGATTTTGTAGAGAGAGAAAATGGGAGAACGGAGGTCGGAAAAGAGAGAAAGTGGGAAAAGAAATCAAAAGCATGCGTTTTGGGTGGGAATAGAGGAAGGCAGGAAGCAGTAGTAAGATGTTGGAGAGAAAGTTAGAGTCACGTGATAATACCGGGTCCACAATAATTTATTGTGGACCAGGTTTATTTAAGTTTTTATAATATAATATTAGTCTGATTCTTGTAAGTAAACGAGTTGATTATATATGCCAACTTATATATGTAATACTCCATTTAACTCTAATTGGGTTTACCTTTCAACTAAAACTTATCAATATTTCTATAGATTCAACGTGAATTAGCTGCTTAGAACAAATATGTACTCCATAGTACTATT